GGTGGGTGGTGATGACTAGCTGTCCTCCCTCTAGTCTTACATTGCTAGATCAGGGACGGTTAGCGCAGATAGCCCTCGTGTAGCTTTGCGCGAAATCAAAAAACAATTAACAATATACATTTCTTGACAATTTTGTTATTACAATTTTATTGTTAAGTTACAGCAATTACAAAATAATACAAGACAACAACAAAATATAAGAGGGCTGATTAAAATGTGTTATATAGGATTGTTTAACAATATAAATTTCCTGACAAAAGCCACAAATTCAACGTAAATTATTTTACAATTTAAACAGCTACTTGACTTATACTGAAGCCAAAGTTTTATTTTGGTTACATGCAATAAAACCTAGGTTAAGTTGTCGCCAGGCGACAAACCAAGAACTTCAGAAAGAAAGTGTGAGGTAGGCCTGGTTTTCCCAGGTTGTTAGATTTGTTGATTTCCCAGTCCATCAGCGAGGTAGAAACTTGAGACCTTGTAGTTACGTGTTTAGAGTATTGTTTGTATTAGTTATTGACTGGAAGCGCTAGCAACATATATCCCGAAAGCTGGCGAAGTATTGAAACTAATAGGCCTAATATTTGTAATAAAAATAACGTTAACTGTGTAGTATGCAGGAACACTATTTGTCTTGTACCTAGTTTTATCAATGTAGAAATTTCCAAAATTTTCGTTTAATCCTATTCTGTGCACTTTTACTATAAACAAATGGTCCAAGAAACTAATGAGTTGTTTTGGTTCTAGGTACCTTTCTTTCTTCGTTGTTCTCTAGCAGAGAGTATCTACTTTGCCTGCAGGGATATTGGAGAAACATCGCACATTATGCATAAGAGGGCAACAATAGTAATGTCCTTCATTACCTGAGTAGATGATACTTAAAGGTTTCAGCCTTTACTATGTTGTAAGATAACGACCAGCCACGTGGAAACGCGTGTCGTTATGGGTAAGCTTGACGTTTCCTGTTATTATTGGGCATTAGATTCACATCGGTTCTACTTACTCATCACAGTGAACAGGTCAACGAAAAGACATCTTGCGGGAAGAACACTGCTGAAAATTATCTGAAAATCCGTTTATGCAGACACTATAAATATTTAAAAGTTACGGTTTTAACGCCAAAAGTTAGCTATTTTTACGGTTTTAACGCTATTTTTACACACCTCTGATTTGAAATCCGAAATGGACAAATTAAGAGGAATGTGAAAAAACAACATCTACAGTTTACACGATTTTTGTCACAAATATTGGTTTATTCATTAGCAATAATTTTGCCAATGTTATAAAACGAGTCACGTGATTAGATAATGTACCATTTAAAGATTTCGAACAATTTTTTTAAAGAAATTAACAAGCACGATAGCACAAAATATAAATTTAAATTTAAAACTGCATTTTTATACCAAATTTGTTAACCTATATTGAGAATTATTTTTTTATTATACCTAGAAGAAAATGTGTAGTAACTCGATAACGTAATCCACGAGTAGGCTAAACCTTTCGTATTATCAAACACTTTGCAATTTTGCTAGTAGTAGTACCATTGCACTTTGTATAGAACAATTTTGCTTTATTAGTACAAAAATACGATTTTACTGATTTGAGAGTAAAACCAGTATAGTTTCCAAATCAGAAAACTTATGAGTACAGTTTTGAGTACGAAAAACTTAGAAGTCAAAGTTTCATGGTAAATCATAGTTTATGACAATCAAGAGCTTTATTTTTTGATAATGTAAGTTTTAAGTGTGCCAACAGTTGCTATATGCAGGCATATTATGCATTTTCCACCATCTTTTATTAATATAGGAATTTTTAAACATTTTTCCTTTAGTCTGATTCTATACAGTTTGGTATAAGCACGTGGTCCAGAAACCGTTGAGTTGTTTGTTCTATTTTTTATTTTTATTTATTTTTTGTTGTTGTTGTTGTTGTCCTCTTATAAGTAGTGTTTATTTTGCCCACAGAATATTACTGCAACTTCGCGCATTGCGTAAAATCGGTCATCTACAGCAACGTCCTTCACTGGCTTGGAAGGTGATATCTAGAAGTTACAGAGAATGAACAGTCACGTAGTGTTGCTTGTTGCCAGGACTGTACCAATCGTCTGCTGGTGTCCAGTGCGCGATCTAAATTTTATGCCCCTCCTAAAAAATATGTAATCTATCCTTGCCGTCAAACATATGTGTCGGCACTCTGCGAGAGCGCAGCTAGCACTACTCTTGGTACAGCCCTGCTTGTTGCTTGTGGGTGAAATCGAGGTTTCCTGTTTAGTATGAAGAATCAGTTTTATTCAGAATACAGAAGATTGTACTTGATTCGAGACGCGAGTCGGTGGACGGAAAGACGTCTAATAGGAATATAACAGTTGATTGATTCTTGGATCCGGTAAAAAGGCGAGTGTCCAGTGCAACTATGCACACTTAGTTTTTGGTTAGCAATTTACAACACATTTCCAGCATATTTGTTTCTTAGCATAAACTCAGTCTAGTTAAAATCAAGTTTACCCCGTAATTATCCTGCTCGAATCTCCTGTTATAAAGCGAACCTAGTTAATACTCATGCTAAAATCAATTTACCCTTTGAATACTAAACAGTTTCCTTATATAACCCTCCTAGTTCTTCTTGAGACATGATGATGTCCATTCCTTGTTCGATTTCTTAATTCTTTTCCATTTTGTAAGGATATTTTTGAGAGGAATATACATGTACTTTGTTAATTTTTTATCTTTGGTATACTTGATTTATTTCATAAAAATTCTTGCTTTTGAAAAGAACAATAACAAAATGAAAAGGAAATAAATGTTTAGTCAAGTTTAGGAAAAAAAAATAGTATTTCATGCATTCATATTTGACTTTGGATACAGTTTGTTCTTGTCTCTTTTATTGTTTTAGTTGCTGGTTTTGTGCTTCTTTGATGGAGTTTTTACTGTTTTTTTTTGAACGGTTACGGCGCTGCTAAACCGTAACCAAAACTAAAAATGTCTGAAGCAGTTCATGCAATCAGGGCAGATTTCTGTAACATTTGGAGTATACATGTTGATTTTTTTGGGGTTTTTTTTTTAGCTGATTAATTTTTTTACTGGTAACCCATAAGTTCAGATGATTGTGCCTGAATGATGAAAATGCGACAATTGTGGAGTCGCGTGTACTCAATAAAGAAAACGGTTGGCTTTTGAACATTCTTATGTTACTAAGTCAGCTGGCGTTAATGCGAAGGTACACGTGTTTGTGACAAGTTAAATGGCTAGTCAACAGTGTTTAAATAAACAATATGCTCACAAATAGCAAAGCCAAATTATTTAGCACGAAGCAGAGGAAAAATGGCGACCAAAGAGTGCTTGAGGAAGGCGAAAAAGTAAAAACGTATTTAGTACAAATTAAAAGACGCTGAAAGGAAAAATTTAAAAAAATACACATTTATAGAGGATGACAAAATCTTGTCGAAACGTCGTACAGTTATAATAAAGTTTTTTCATTACCCAGTCAAGCCGTCTCAAAACTTATTTTCTTATAAGTGGGTTCCTCGTTATCAAGATTTATTGAGTACAAATTCTAATTTTACTATACGTACACGCTATATGCAGTAATGATAAATTACAAAAAAAAAAACTACTCGACCCTCAAAGTGATGGGTTGCCAACAGCAAACAAATATTTATGTCTGGTCTCCATGTGGTGTTAGATCCAATATGTAATATTTCTAAAAGGGGTGTTAAATTTAACACACATATTTAGCATAATTTAAGGAAAACAACAGACCTGTTAGTCTCTCTAGGTCATTTCATCTACTCAACTAAACTTTAAAATAAAATTAAATTCAACCCTTATCATTCGAATATTTATCAAGCCTTACATTAACTGCATCCAACCACATCTGAAGGCAATCCATTCCAAAAACTAACCACCCTATTAGAAACATAAAGCTGTTTTAGCTACCCTGACGAAATTTATATTTGTGTCTTCTAGTCATACCATTCTCGTTATTAATTACGGAAAAAGATGATGGATCAACACTGTCAATTCCTTTTAACAATCTTAAATACCTAAATTAGATCCCTTCTAACTCTTCTTTTTTAAAGAAAAAAACAATTAAGATATCTTTATCTTTCCTCGTATTACAACCCCTCCATTCCAAGTTTAATCCTAGTAACCTTTTTCTGTACCTTTTCAAACAATTCAATGTCCTTCGTAAGGTAAGAAGCCCAATGCTGAACACAATACTCCAAATGTGGTCTAACCAATGACGTGTACAATGAAATTATAAATCTTTAGACTCGTATTCAGTTTTTCTATAAATACACTCTGAAATTTCGCGCAAAGCTACACAAGGGCTATCTGCGCTAGCCGTCCCTAATTTAGCAGTGTAAGACTAGAGGGAAGGCAGCTAGTCATCACTACCCACCGCCAACTCTTGGGCTACTCTTTTACCAACGAATAGTGGGATTGACCGTCACTTTATAACGTCCCCACGGCTGAAAGGGCGAGCATGTTTGGTGTTTTTAGGTGTTTATTAATTACACGAAGAATGATACATATATGTATATGTAATTAAATATATAAATGGTATATCAGAGAAATATATGTTTATATTTCACGCCCTATGATCATCAGTGATTAATTGTTTAGGGACGGATTTAAACCAGTTAACATCGTTATGTAAAACAGATGGTCGTAATAACATAAAAAAGAAAGGAAAATCATAAAACTTTAGTATAGATACTAAAAAACTTACCTTGTACATGATACCCAACATCCCTATTAGAAACCTTACATATGATACCCAACATCCCTATTAGAACCCTTACATATGATACCCAACATCCCTATTAGAAACCTTACATATGATACCCAACATCCCTATTAGAACCCTTACATATGATACCCAACATCCCTATTAGAAACCTTACATATGGTACCAAACATCCCTATTAGAAACCTTACATATGATACCTAACATCCCTATTAGAAACCTTACATATGGTACCAAACATCCCTATTAGAAACCTTGCATCTGATACCCAACATCCCTATTAGAAACCTTACATATGATACCCAAATCCCTATTAGAAACCTTACATATGATACCCAAATCCCTATTAGAAACCTTACATATGATACCCAAATCCCTATTAGAAACCTTACATATGGTACCCAACACCCCGTATTACAAACCAACAGAAACCCCTAGAAGTTTAGTAATTACCCTAGTCTGATAACATGATAATTTCTGTTCATGTCTCTGTTGAGATCTCTGTCGTATTAAGAAAAGTTTCTTTTTAGCCGCGGCATAGCGGCACATAGAACGGCTCCGAGTTTTTTTTTTTTTTTCTCAAGTACAAACTTTTAACTCAAACTTGTCCGATTTGAGATCTAATTACACTTTTGGACTCAGGAGGTCAAACCCTTTCGATTTATATATTTGACCACGCCCAATATCTCATAGATTAATTTACTCTAATCCTGCCTAAAATAATTTATATTTGAAGGTAGGCTGGTAGAGATTCTGATGAGTAATAAAATTCAATCGGGTATGCACGCGCCCCACGCTTGGTATTGCTGGCGCACAAAAATATAGCTAATAAAAAGGAAAAAAAAGGTCTCGTAGATTATTTTACTCTATTCCTGCCTAAAGGAATTTCAAATGTCGCGGCTATTGAGAATTCCCTCTGCTTGTTCCTCTCGACGTGGATTCCTGTTCGTGGTGAGGGGACCTCCCAGGGAAGGTTCTGTATTTTCAGTTACTTTCTCTGTGATCTAAACATCCACCCACGTGTTTGCCGTGCGTGGCGACCCGCGAAGGGGAGGAGAGTATTCTGGTGGTTGAGTGGTGTCTGGGGCACTGCAACACACCACTTTGGCCCTGTAGACGGGTGGCCCCCTAGGGTCAATCGGCTGATCCGTTGGGGCTAGGGTCAACTGAGTACCAGTGTTGGGCGTTCTCAACG